GAGAGCGATTGGCAAGCGACGGACAAGCGCGTCGGTCTCTGATTCAGCGCTTTTATTGCGCACCTACCTGCCAAGAGAGCATCACTTTTGCGACCTTCGCCAACAACTCTATCTTATCCATCTAAGGGATTGGTCCACCTGGGTTCATTATGGGGTGTATCTTTGGCCTTTAATCCCTCTCAGGCCTGCAATGTTATTTATATGACCCACTGGTTTCGCTAGGAAGGGTTGTAGCGATTGATTGCGATTTTCCTATGCTCTGTTTTTCTCATTTTATTCACGCTTTAACGTGGGACAATGCCGAGGACTGCCATTGCGCTTCCCTTCCATCAACTGCGCGATATTTTGCAATTGGAGTTGACTGCTGATGAAAAATGGTTCAAAAAATTGTAGAATTAGCAGTTTTTTTTTGTTGACAAAAGGGCGCGTTTGAAGTGCAGTAGCGAAGGCATAGTAGAATTTTTGATTGTGGTCAATAGATAGAAGAAGAATTGATAGAAAATTAGTAGCGACGAGATGTATGGCGATATGCAATGTGAAGCCGTATGTTCTAGATGCTCTACCGAAGCAGACGGCGCGCTCGCAACACACCGCTCGAGATACTCTCCAACAAAAGACAGGTCTTTCTCGTCATCAATCCATCCACGCTTATTCATCCATTCAACTCATTCAGCCACATCCCTTGGTTACATTTTTAACATAAAATAAAAAGAAGTTACGATTGGGGTTGGTGTAGGAGAAATGACTAACAACGAACTTTGTGCTTTACTTAATTAAACAACGAGGTATCAGGAATGATTGGTCGATTTTGGATACCAGCATATATGATGCACCTAATTATTCATTCTCTAACAAAACACATTCATATTGTGAGTGCCACTTTTATAATTATTTTTTTTACTTTTCCTTTACTTTTTTGGAACTTTTAACGCTCAATTGTACAGCAGACCGCGTTCGTCTGGAAGCGATGTGTTTGCAAAGTATGAACGCGGCGTAGAACAGCGCAAGGTTGTCGCAAGATCCGTACGAGAGCAACGAAAATGCAGCGATGTTCGGGTTTACGGACTACTTGATTTTTCCTCAATGGTCCTGCCGCGATGGCTAGAGCACAGACGATTAGAGAATGCCCTAGGACTAAGCCTTGGAGAGGAGAGGGACCCGCTAGAGAGCGCAGAGGCGGTAAAGGGCTGAGTTCAAGTAGTCCGTCAACCGCGGGGTGGTTGAGTCGTTATGCTCTAGTTTTGCGTTTCACTAAGCTGGTGGCCGATTAGAATGAAGTGACAGGAAGAGAAGTAAATGAAGCTGAAACGTTAGGCCCACAATCGCTGCGCAAGCTAAGGTTGGTGCGGCCGGTTATGAGTGGCAGCGGTTTGCATAACGGTAATACTTTTTAAGGCGTATTCTCACTAAGAAACTGTGTGTGATTTTCGCATGATGAAAATGGGGAATGTAGAGGACAAAGTTGAACGGCAGTGAATGCAAAAACTGAGAGGGCTCCTCCATTTTCTTGTTGAGTTATGAAACCACTAAGCACGGGGGAAGAAGGATGGGTGGAAGGTCATTACGGAAGAGAGGGTGCAGACACTCGTATTTGCCAGAGAGGTAAAGGTGAAGCGGTTGAACCGCTTAATGCAAAGCTTTAGTGCCATGGTCCGCGCTGGCAAGGTGGGAGATTGAGACAATGGACAACTGTACCCTACCATCTGGAAGAATTTATCCAGCAAAGTTTCTGTGGGTTGCCTTCAAAGGAGGATTCACGATAAGGTCGGAGGCTAAATAAGAGTGAACCCACCTTGATGAAAAGGCAGGCGAACCCTCAAGGGGGGGGGGGGGCGCACCGACACGCAGTTTGCTGCGATGGATGTGCAGCTGGCGATCTAGCTTAGCCGTGCCCGCGCTGTATCGCCACTGCCCACCCACCTCCCGCTGTATGTCTCTGCCGCCTGGCAGGGAGAGCGTTAGTGCTGATTAGGTCAATACCGATAAAACACGGCAAACGCGCTAACCAGCGGGCAGAAGATGATCCCAATCTCAAATTCTAGGTAACCTTGTATGTTCTTGGTAGTTGCTAAGTCCTTCATACATGAACATTCTGACCTGATTATGATGAACTACCTTCCATCGTACCACTTCAAGTAGTGGTACCGAGTTTTTCCCGCCATGTACTGATTGTAGGCTATTCAAGCCTGGTGTTTATTAGGGTCAGTACTGTGAAAGATCAAATGTAACAGCGAAGGCGCACTTGGCACCACTATATTGCGCAGGACCGCTCGCATGGCCCGGAGGAGTGTGAACGTCTACCACTATGATTCTGATCGATGTGCAGCAGGTCTTCATTATCTATTGTCTTTGAAAGGTACTGCCAGCTAGGGAGGTGGAGCGAAATGGGTGTAGGAGGGCTCTTGTTTTTTTTAGTAGTGAAAGCGTATAGCACCCGCATCCATTACCACGACTATTTGACTCACACTTGGATCTTTCCGTGCTACTGAGCAGTTTGGGTGGCGAATTCCCAGTACTGGCTGATAATCATTGCACCACGATCGTCTTTAATGATATGATTGGTTTTCGAGGCGTTGCGATTAATCGTAAATGAGATGTTGTTAGTGTTTTTGAACATTTTCAATATAACACGTCTGTGTTCTGGTAGTGGTGCCGGGCTAAAATCTTACAGAGCTTTGCATTATTGCCACTGAAATTGATATTGTTCAAAATTTGTATTTATATTCGAAGTTATGCACATTAATTAACTCAACGCATGTGATTATTGATTGAAGAACACAATAGATTCTCTGTCAGATTTTCCTTATTGCACGATGATAGATGTTCCCCTCAGCTAACAGTTTCGAGTGATGTCTCTTTCAGGGTCATGCGTTGGATGAGATCTACTTCTGCATTCGAGCCCTGTCGGCAGCCCATCCGTTTGAAACGGCTCGAGATCGTTTGCATGCTCGACTTGCAGCGATGAAAAGAAAGGTTATCTCGATTATCTATTTGCTTAATTTATCGATTTGTGCACAAATCAAAATGATTTTCTGACGGGTAATTTGACACTTGAGGCTTGCATGGTCTTATATTAGCACGCTGCGATGAACTGACCTTTCTACGAGTATTTTTACACATTATACTTTGAGTTGTCAGCGAATCACGCTTGCTTTCTGTCCACCGCAAGCTAGGGCATTTGAAACCGGTTGGTTACCACTCTTAGGTTGCCGTCATAACCCTACTTTTTGGAAATCAGGATATTGGGAAATTCGGTTTGAAAGATTGGATAGGTATTGATTGATTATACTGGAAGTTAAGAGAAAACTAACTTCGTGGATTGAGAGATTCAGCCGAAAAGATGTGTTAATTGATCACACCTTTTCTCTTTTAGTCAACACATATCTAATCTTTTCAAGTGAATTTCCAAATATCCCAAATCGTGGAATGCGAACACGACCGCAGCGAATTTTCTTGCGCGTGGGCGCTCAAGTAGTGGTTGTTTTTTGAAACCATAACTAGGCGGTGGGTGTTTCAATCAATCAGACGTGGTTCATTGGTCGAAAACTCATTCGGTTTAGTTTCAGAAATATAAGGTATTTGTAGCTTGCAGCGACCAGATTGCATCCAATATCAAGGGTGATTATGGCTTGCCCCATCGAAGTGGAATTTCAACATCAACACCCATTCACACCTGTATAAGTAGTAAAAGAAGAGCAGTATTTATGTTGAAATTTGGAGTGAGGAAAGCGGGGAGTGGGATGGGGAAGGGAGGAATAATAGTGCGGCTTCACGTGCGTTCTTTCGGGGCCTACAACTACAAAATCTAACATCGCGCTCCGTGCTGTCGCTAATTTGTTTGTGAGAATAGGGTCACCCAGGCAAATGATTGTCGAATTTCGTTTTGCATTTGAATTCCTGCTATTCCTGAATAAGTAGTAGGGTCGTGGAATAGATTGATGCAAGCATTTTGTCGTTTTTTTCCCATTTCTTGCTTATGCAGGGTTCTACTCGCATCCGCCTACGTGTTGTTTTATGACACAATACATTTCTTACATTTTTTTGCACAAATATCTAGTGAAACTGTAGGTGGATAAGTACGAACCGCTTCTTGACGTTGAATGTGGCGAGTTCGAGAAGACGCGAATAATAGCAGGCTAGTGCTCGGATCGAAACGTAGAAATATGGTTACACGGAAGGGCACAAAAATTGACGCTGGATCCGAATTGTCACGTTTCTCAGTCTTTTCTTGATCAACAGCCGAGCAAGGTCAGAAATACTTTAATTTTTCCCTGAGTTGTTTTTCTTTGACAGTTTTTCTGCAGTTTGGTAGTGTGGAGTGGTCAGTTTTGATGTTCAATCTGATTATAATTCTTCTTTCTTCTTATTTTGGTTTTTTTTTCTAGTTACACCGGCGAGCTATTTCCTATGTGATCAACACTGTCGGCTTATTAATTACAAAAATCGGTATGGAGTCATTTCCGAGGTAATTATTTCTTTCTTTCTCCATTTTTCTCGCTTCGCGTTGCTCGCAAAAGAATGTGATCGAGTTAGTTTCCGTGCCTTTGCCACTAATAGTATGCCTTTGTGTATTCAGCGTGTCGGAACGAGCTATTGGCCAGCTAGCCGCGTTGGAGTGGAACAGGACATTTTCCCCGGTCACAGCTGGACACACTTGTTCAAATTGCAGCGCTGTTCATCTATGCAGTGCATTGTAATGGAATTGCTGGTTAGTTGATTAAGTCTTATGATGTTTGTTCTTTTTTCTATAGTTCATTGCTTACCACTGTGCCCATCTTTTGGCTGAAGTTCTCCAAGCATTTATAATGATTCCGGTCACAAAAGGAATCGCGTCGTCCTATTCCAGCAAAGCATTTAGTCCCTTGTCAATTGCGGAACTTCTTAAAAGCACCACCTTTCAGCAGATTGTTTCTACCAATATCAATTAAACAATAGTCACAAATCAGCTTTTCTTACTTGTTCATTTGGAAGATGGTCCACATTCAGCAACAACATTTCCCTATTTGTGAGCATTACTCATTTAAGAAGAATATGTTGTTTGACCCTTCAAGTAGCTTCAGGAGATGAGGACGTGTGCAGTGTTCAACAGCAGCAAGCAGTTCACGCTCTTGTCAGTGTGTTTGGAGTATTTCTGCGTCCGATAGATCTGAGGCTCGCTGAAGTCAATTCATGGATCAAAGGCTCCTCTGAAGTGCCACTGGTTGTAAGTTTCTTCCCTTGTTTTTTTTTTACTTATCAGGTATCTTTTCATCAGTATTTCTATCATGAGTGCTTTAACCTTACAAGATCGGCAGGCCACTCGCGGACTAGAGAGTTTTCGCTTTTCGCAAGTTTAGTAAGTCGGGGACCAATGGGTGGGCCCGTGATCCCTCGTTTGGTGTATGGTGATCGGCTTAGTCCCCTTTCACTTCTGATTATGGTTTCTTTCTCAATCTGCACTTCGAATGTCCTAGCTAAAATATGTGAAACTGTAATGAAAGAAACTGTGATTTAAAATTCTAGATGAGATTTCGGAAATGATTGCAAGAAACAGTTCCACCTTTTGGTTGACCCGTGTGATCTGACTGTGATTCGTTTCTAATGAAGGATATTCAGGTGTCACGTGTACTGCCAGCTGTTTGTGTGCTTTGTGAGTGGTTCTCTTGTCCACAAGCGTCAGCCATATACCGAACGATGCCATCGGTCGAGCCATTGCCGACGTCCATAGTTGACATTGATACCTGGCATCTACTGGCAAACATCGCCAATGTGCTGGCTCGATTGCAGGATGGTGGCGAAATGGTGAAAATAGAAAATAACGCAGGTATGATCGAAAGAGAGTCGGTAAGGGTACAATCCATACCCTAGGGTAGATGTTATTTTCCAACCAGATTGAATCAAATATCTCAATTTCAGGCTCAGCCAAAACGTGCATCCTGCCTGAGCTTGCATATTTGTCATCGTTCTCGACCGTGTTTCCATCGTTTCCTCGAATACTTCGCTACACCGATGCGAACAATGAAACAGCGGACTCGGTATGTGACGATTTTGATTTAGACTTCTGCCTTTATTTCTTGACCGCATTGATCTGCTCGAATCGATTTTACCGTTGATGTCTTTAGCTGATACCGGTTCAAATACGTCTAGCGCAACTTCTGCTGGCCGCTGAGTATTTAGACGGCTCTGATCTGTCATGTTTTTTCTTTTGCGAGAAAACGGGACGATTCAAGCGAAGTGACCATGTTGAAGGTGATCTGAGAGAGCGTTCAAAAGCCATACATGCTCAACGAACTGAGGTAATTTCTTGCTCCTTCCATTAATAGAAGGGCTAAGGCTGAAACACTTGTAAAATTGAGTTTCCTGTCAGGAGTCGCCAAGGGTTCCAACACCATTGACAAGGGAAGAGTTGCTCGAACGAGAAATGCGCAAGCACGAACAGTTGTTAGTGGTGAGTATTAGCACAGAGCATTCTACTTGTTACTGAATAAATAACAATGTAGCATTTTTACGATATATACTAGTTTAGGTGAAACCAGTCTATTTGGTTATTGATACGAACGCTTTCATTGATCAGTTGAGCGCTATTCAGAAAATTCTGCAGTGCGAACGTTTTCGAGTACTGATTCCAACGACAGGTTTGTTCAGTCTTGTTGTGCATGAGAGCACCAAGTCTTGATTGACTCTCAGGGACAAATTTTCCTCACTTACCACTTCTTTTTTACGAGAAGAGTTTCAGTGATGGAAGAGCTAATTGATCTACAACATGGTGAACTAAGAAGTTCGCGAGTACAAGGACCGACCGAAGGTGCACGACAAGTCGACCGAAGGTGCACGACAAGCAGTGACGTGGTTACGTGAGCAGACCAGGCAGAAGAACGCACGTCTGTTCACCTTGACGATGCGTGGACGCCGACTACCGATCGCGGTGGTTCGAGAAGAAGCCGGTGACGATGGTGAAGTGGTACGTTAGTTTAACTGTCTTATTTATAAGCTACTAATGACTGACAGGTTTTTCAGAAAGTCAACCACTACGGTACGGTAGCGATAGCGAGACGTTTTCGCAGATAGGAGTTCCCTTAGGTAATCAAAAAATATAATCTTGGTTGGGTATGGTTTTGGTGGCCAAGATGAAATCAATTGCTTACTGGCCTCATGATGGTTGTAATTTTGGAGCACTGATTCTTGTGATTGCGGAGCGCGGTGGTTAGTTCTGCTCGACCTTGTTTTTGAAGGCACATTCCACGATTACCTAGGTATTCATTGTTACTCTGAATATTGACTAGGTGTGGGTAGTGTAGTGATAGTTGGTTCATACAGAATAAGGCAGGCGAATAAAGCATTTTGAGGGGTAGTAGCATTGAGCAGAAGGGCTATTTTTATTGCGTTTATCGTTTATTATTGCCATTCTGTTACAGAAAAAGATGAAGGCAAAGACACTATGCCTGTTGATCAATCCCCGTTTTGGGATGCGGCACGCATTCTACTTCCATTTGTACATTCGCAGTGGCATTTGAATGCGATGTGGCCTATACAATGACTTGCGGGGGCCAGCCGATGTTCAAGTCAGTGTTTTTTATCCTCCCAGACAAGTCTGGTACCAATTAACCGACCCCGGAGGGATGGAAGGCTTGGTTGGCCCGGGCGACGCGACGCCCAGGACTTGAGTCACGAACCACCTTGCGTAGGTAAGAATGTGTCACTTGCAACCTTCACACCACTTCTGCCTTGTTACAGATAAAGGCACAATAAAGGGAGGGAGAGGTGAGTTGAGATGGGGTAAAGCCGCCAATCTCTGCCTCCTCACGGTGCAACATGAACTTGCTTTGCTGCATGTTAGCAGTATTATGAGCGCTTCAAAGGCGATGTATTTAAGCTATGTCTCAAGCCCTGATGAAATATTTTGGACTAGGCATTCGTTCAAAAGTTGTGCAGAGGCCCGAAGTATCGCTCTGTTTGGACTGCTTTCGAGTATGGTGGCCCTTTCTTTACTTTAAGTAGACCAAGCATAAAAATTCTTATTTCAGGTGAACGACGATCGTAATCCTGCGATCATGTGTGAATTTCACGCAATCAGAACCGGCACCTGAGTCGCTGTTTAGCGATGTCAAAGTACCGCAAGGTCGAGAAACGCCGAACATTTACCGTAACCTTGTGCTGCTGACCGAGGATCGAGTGTTGAACATGAAAGCGATGAGTCAGCACATTCCATGCCGAACAATGGTTCGCTTTATGAAATGGGCCAAAATCAGTTAGGCCTGCACGACCGCTCGCTATTCGCCCGTCGTGGCTTCACTTGCCGGCTTTTCGCCGTAGTCGCCTAGAAAGGGATTGCAATCGGTGACGAAGGCACCTATCGAACAGCAGTCGACTTTCTGGTGTTTTTTACTCGATGACACTCTCTTACTGTCTTACGGTATCTCACATTCGTACCCTGTCAGTCTAATGTGTACAGTACATTTATCCTCCAATTGACATTGAATTCCGGAATCGGCTCCGGAATTGCCGCCAACTTTTTGGTTTACCAAGTTGTAGCTACGCTCAGCGAGTATAACTAACGTATCTACTAATTGCACATCTGATTAGTGTGTACGTTAAATGAGCATGGCTATGACTTTCAGATAAATTGCGAGAATAGTTTCGGTTTGTTTTAATGTTGATCTTACGTTCTGTGTTATTTTTCGAACCTTACCGTTAGCGGTCTGTGAGCCGGTCATCGTTGTTGTGCAGGTAGTATGAAGAACTCACCGCAATCCAGCCGAATCGATCATATTTTGTCGAACCGTTGTCATAGCGGGTAGTTTGGCATCCATGCTTCAAGCAGGGCTTGCTCACAGCCAGAATCAAGTTGTGGTCGTTGGAATGTGTGTATAGTGTTGATGTTTAGCCGTCTAGATAGCTCTAGCTTGCTTGAGCCTGGCTGTAAAGCTGATTCTGTTATAGATGGTCTCAAAGCCACGCTGCCTTTCTAGTCAAAGTCCGTTTTAACAGTTGATTGGACCCACAATCGCAGCTGTGATTGAATTGCCCATCCATATCTCGAATTGTTTCCATTATCGCCCCCAGTTTTATTTTTCTTTTATTTTTGTTTACGCGAAAACGATAACGATATGCTCATTCGAATTCGAATACAGTAGTTGTATTAGGTTGATCCGTGGATCGCTAAGATCTTTGTTAAGATTTGTGATTATTGTGTTGATGCAAGTGATTAACTCTAATCTCATTAACTCACATAAGAATTGTTCCATTA